TCTCTCATATGACCAACATATCCCAGGCTGGTAAACTCAGCCAAAACTCCCTTATTTCCCAAAGAAAAGAGACAGATAACATCTCCATAACCACCCTTTGCAGTTTCCAGGAATCTCTCAAAGCCCTCCACATTCCAAGGCCATTAAACAACAACCTCAACACTAACACCAGGAGGCAGGTCCAAACAGGAAGGATCTGCAAAAGCCTGATCATAAGGCACAGGTACTGAGAGGCTGGTAAACTTTTCACCAACCCCAAGTATTGGGAAGCCTTCAAGATTGAATTCCAACCTGCTAGGCCTTCCAAATAAGTTTTGGCCCCTGAATCCTCTAATCACAATAGAAATGCAGATGGAAAATGCAAGGAAAAGGCATCAATTAACATCTTCATGCCTTAAGAAATAAAAGGCAAGATCACAGCTTATAGCACCTCACATACACCACAAATTGGCCCATGAGCAAGGAGGTTACCTTGTAAGTGCCTTTATACAGAGAATGAACTCTGAGCCCCTGGACTTAACACAGCACTTGTTTCCTTTGAGCTACCCCGTATCACCTTTAGACACCTAGCAGCAGATTTCTTTCTCCAGCTGCAGCAGCAAGCAGGACAAACATAAATTAGGGTCCTATGTTAAGGGTTAGTGCTGGGACAGGAGAGAGGGTGCTGCTGTTGAACTAGCAAGTTGTTGAGTGAGAAACCTCTGAGCTCTGCTTCACCGCTGTTTTGTAAAACCTAACATCTCAGTTATTAGTGAAGCAAACACGTCACCAATCCCTTTCTCTACCAAGACGTATTGATTTGCAGCACACACCTACTCTCAGCAATTCATACCTGCTAAAATAGCAGAAGCCAGACACTAATTGTTTTGTGCTGGGGGGGGAGAGACAGAGGTTGCGAGAGACCCATACGAGAGCAAATTAATATCAGGAATACTTTCTTACTGATAAAAAGAATTAGCTGAGTAAGCGCTATTCAGTTTCACAACAATCAACTAAAAACACAAATAAAATAAAATCATGGCCATGTAGCACTTTAAAACTCCGTTTAAAGTCTCTTCTACAGTGTACTTGTTTGAAGCAGCTCTTTTCTTCTCGCTATGAGGCACGACAGCTCACTTGGAGACCATGGCTTAGATGAACTTAAATCATCTTGGATTTACACGGTTCACATGCCTGACAACTAGCTGGAAACTAACGTACAGTGAGGACAATGACAGGATGAAAGAAATACTCACAGTTTTCAGGATAGCTGAGAGAGAAATAAAAGCAGACACTGAACAGGATAACGGGTATCCAAGAGAAACAGTCCCCCCAAAAACCCTTGAGAACCGCGACATATTCACGTGTTGGCCAGTGTTTGCCCTTTGAGCAGACAGCTGGGGACGCGGGTTACGTGCACCTGAGCTGTAAATTAATTCTGTTTAAGATAATTATGGATGGATGGTGCAGGAAAACTGAGATTTAAAGGAACCTTCACAACCTGGTGTGAAAACTTCAGCGGGAAGGCTGCACGACGCTCGGGCTCTTGCAGGGCAGCGCCAGCCGCGCGTCCACCCCACACTGCACAGCTGACGGGCCAAAAACATCCTGCTCCTTGGCAGCTCCACAGCACGGGACCGAACTCTGAGATCTTATCAGCACGATTTTTAAAGGGCATTTTTAAACAACCACCCAGAAACACTTGGGAGAGGGGGGAGAGGGGAAGGAACACTGCCTTGGCCAGCAGCGCCACAAACCTGCGGGCAAGGTCAGGAAGGATCCCTGCGGCACCCCCAGCACCCTCACCACAGCACCTGGACCACCACCAGCAGGACCAGGACCACCAAGACCACCACCATCACCAGGACCACCACCAGCAGGACCAGCAGGGTGGCACCACCACCACCACCGCCCTCCTACACCCCCGGCTGCTCCGGGGGAGCCAGCGCCCGGCTGCCCCTTCCCGCTACCTGTCCTCGGAGACGCTGATGACCCCGTCCTCCTTGGGCACGATCGCTGCCATGTTCACCACCTCCTGCGAGCCCTCCACCTTGTTGAGCAGGAGGGGCTTGCGGGTCAGCGCCTTGGGCTGCGGCTCCGCCGCCATGGGCACCGCCGCTGCGGCGAGGGGAGGCTGCGGCGAGGGGAGGCGGCCGCACAGAGGAGGAGGAGGAGAAGGAGGGACTCGGTGCACGGTGCCGGGCTCTGTCGCTCATCCCCCGGGCTCCCCGGGAAGCAGGAACCGAGGAGGAGGCGGCACCGCCCCCGAGCCGAGCCGGGCCGCCCCCCTGGGCCGGGCCGGGCGTTGCGGGGGGCTGAGGGGGGAAATGGCGGCCGGAGGCGTCGCCATCTCGCAGCGCCCCCAGGGGTGTCCCGGCGGCCGGGCTGCCCGGGCGCTGCGGGGAGGGTTAACCTGCTCGGAGGAGCCGGGCTGCTAAAGGGAGGCCTTAAGCAGGTCATGGTGGTTAAAAAACGGGTGTAGATGGCTGCTTTGCCGAGAGGGAGTGCGGGTCCGGGTGCCGGAGAGCAGCCCCCCCCCTGCCCGATCACCACACGGTGGCCGGCTGGTTGCGAAGCTCCTCGCTTCAAGGCTTGTCTGTATTTAGGTTACAAACTCTCTCCTGGTGAATTTTTAAGGGAAATGCAATGGGGCTCCAGCAGCTGTTTTTCAGTGAGATTCTGCTTTTTCCTTACTTTTCCTGGTGGGTACATTGAGGTCTGAGAAGGGCAGGTAACGTGCCCAAAGCTCTGTGCTAAAGTCAGCAAAACAAACAAACAAAAAAACTAACACGCTTTCTCTTGAAGTGTGTGCCAAAGACAATCTTTCATAATCCATCTGGAGAACTCTGGAAAACAACTGTAGGTATCTGAACAGTTGTCCTACATCGCAGAAGTGATTTGCAGCCTGGAAGGCGTTACTTCAAGTGTAACTTCAAACTTAACCCATGGTAAGATGAGGAGCAGCAGTTCTCTGAAAATAAATAAATAAATAATAGGGCTCCTTCCCATCAGCAGAGAAATTGAGGAGGCTTATGAGTTTAGCAGATAGGGCTATATTTGTTGTGCAATTTGTGACTGTCACTTGTGGAAGTGAAAGCTAAACTCCAGATAGTGCTTAGTAAACTGACCATATTATGCTAAACAAACAGGGTCTGGAGGTCGGCAGGACCACAGCAAGGCGTTTAAGCTCTACTTGACTGAACTATTTGAAGTTCACAAGTGTACTGTGGAGGGAAGTGTCTGGTCAGCAAGAGATAATGGCTTGTAGGAAATGCATCTGCAATCTCAAGCTGTTTCCCAGGGGATGTATGATCACATTAGATAACATCCCATTCTCGCAGTTCTTAGAAGGGAATTGCTACTAGAGAACCAAAGATGGAAACCAGCCCTCTTACAGCTACAGATGACCCTGCAATCCTCGGCTAGACCTACAGCTGGAAAACCTTGCATTGCTATGCAATGTATGAAATATTCTCTGAAGACATTGATACACTTGACAGTTTTCAGAATGGATGTATACCTTAAAATGTCTTGGAAAACTAAAGTCTGAAGAAATCTGGCAAGGGCTGCCGTCTTTGCAGTTTGTTTGCATTCAGGATTTGGCACTGTGCACTATTCATAGATAAACATGGTCTGAAAGTATGCTGGAGGCAACATACTGCAGGCTCTAGGGAGATGTAGAATACTATTTGCCAAACAGACCTTCAAGAAAATGAGTAAGGGGGAAATGAGTATCTTAATAAGGTATGGGTTACGGGACCAGGAGTAGTCCTATGCATCCCTCAAATTACCTGTTATTTTTATTTATTTATTTATTTATTTTTTTCAGCAATTGCCTATTGAGACATTATTTCCCTTGCCTCTCCTTTATCTTTAAACATTTAATACACAGCCCTTCTGGAGGAAAACACTAAAAACAGTCCTAGATGGACATTTTATTTAACTATCCTGTTTCTAAAAAGGTGCACAAGAAACTCCAATTGGTGGCTATGACATAGTTCAGGTGCACCCGTTGAATGCAGGTTTCACAGGCAGCAACAGCTCGGATGCCAGGGGCATGCATTTGGATCAAAATCAAATAATGACACTGAAATGAAATCTATGCTTTATATAAAGGTCTAATCTTTGGTAATGATTTACCTGTTTTAAAAAAAAAGCCCACAACGCAAGAGATGCTCCAGTGGGCTTATAGTCAGTCAAGATAAAAATCGTAAGGGCTTATTTTAAAGCTTATCTTTAATGGTGACTTCCTCAGCAAGACCAGGAAGGTACTTAAATAATAGAAAACGAAATCCTGAGCTCTGGTACATCACTTTAGCAGGTGTCCAAATCTGGGGTCAGTGCTCTCATCTCCCTTATAAGGTAGAGAAATATGCTTGGGAAATTATTGCACACAAATAATGGTCTTGCTGTGACTGAGAGAAAAAGGACATTGCTTGAAAAGCTGAGGAAAGGAGGAGGGAAAGCAGAGAAAAAATAGGATTTTAGAGTAAGGCAGAAACCTGGAGCTTACTCCTGCGTTGTACCCGACAGGCTAAAAGAATGTGGTCATAATGGTGGAAAAGGCATTGAAATTACCAACAAGATCTGAATGTTTTCCCAGATCTACCATTCTCACACAAAATCCAATCAAAAATGATTCACTTTTGAGAAACAATTTTCCTATAACCACATAAACTAATGGACAAAAAGACTTCAAGCTAGAATAGCTGTAGACATCAATTTTAATGACTACCTGCAGAAACAAAATTAGGGTAGTTTAGAAAAGTGTTTCCCCATATAATGGGAAAAAAATCAAGAAAATAAATCTTACCAATACTTATTAGCAGATATATATTTTTTTCATTTTCTATCATAGCTTTATGGGAAAATTGCATGGGTTGAAAATATTTCTAGGACGACTCCTTGTAACTGAACTAGAAGCCAAGCAAAGCAAGCATATTCAGTTCTTTTTCAACTTTCATAAAAATGATAGGATTAAAAATTATGTTTTTTTTTTCTTTTTTTTTTTTCTTTTTTTCTTTTTTTTTTTTCAGGTACTGCTGTGGTATGCTTGGAATATTTGAACTGTCTTCTAAGAACACATCTGCCAGTAGCATGGGCTGAAAAAAAAACAAACTGGAAAAGGCAGCTTTTATCAAATGAATATTGCCTCATCTTTGTTTCTTAGTGTCCCTTCTCCTACTCTGCATTTTTGGCATGCCACAAGGTAAATGAAGCACAGCCTTTTTTTCTTGGTATGAGTTGACTTTCACTCCTTTCACTCGGATGGAGTGGATTGAGCCTGCCTGCCTGCTAGCAATAAGACTGGCCCACGTCTTCACGGACTGGGTGAGGACAGAACAGCTCTGGGAAAGGGTGCTGCTCTGAACCACTGTGTACACGCACAGTGGAGCCAATTCCATGCCCTCGTACCACACCAGAGTCTTGGTTACTTTCTCCGGTTTCTCATCTGCAGTCTTGTGAGCTGGAGCAAATTCAATTCCCGATCTTTGGCACTTCGCTTTAAAAGTTGCTCTCTGGCTCCATCTTCTGTTTTATCTTGTTTGCTGACTTTTGGTTTTGTTTTCTCATTTCGGTATATCGGAGTGAGATTTTCCTGAGTTTTAGGAACTAAATTTCTTTTGAAAAGTAGGCAATCATTTCTCGCGTGACAGTTGCAGCAACATGGAGAGGATCTGGACATGCAGGTGAGCAGGAGGCCCAGGGAGGAGGGACCTGGACCTCTCCCAGCTCTGCTGTCAGCCCTATTTTTAGATACTTGTGTCTTCAAGGTTGTTGCTTCTTGTTAGAACAAGAGGAGTAATCCCAAGCCCCAAAAGCACTGTCTTGGCATAAAGGTAACTGTTCTGCAAAACGATGATCGTGACATGATCTGGCAGCATCGTGACATCTCGCAAACCTTTCAGCTAAAACTGGCAAGCACTGGGGCCACCCAGTAGGAGTGGGACAATTCAATAAATATGTTGGCATCTTTGCAGGTACTAACAAAAACTGTCCTCTTTTCTAAAGTGCTCAACAATAATTGGAGTAATATTTATATCCCCAGGAACAAGCCCTTCATAAAGAAAAAGCTATTTTATGGTGAGTAAAATTTAAGAACTATTTAACTTGTGCCCCTTTGAGCCATTTCGTAAACTGATTGGAGTTGCTCTCCCTCTGCAAGAGGGGGACCAGTGTGGGAGAGAAATTGCACGTTGCCCGAGTTGGTGCTTAGATTCAGAAGTGCTCCATTGACAGTGAGCCAGATTTCAGCTTCTGAGGCCTCTTCCTCAATTACCCATGCAAAATCAAAAGGCTGTACACACAAAGGATAACCACATTAAAAAGGTAAAAACACTTGGCAACAAATAGAGCCACCTCTCAATAGCCATTGAATGTAGCAGCAGTTTACCCTCTCTCATGCTTTTCTTCTCTGCTTGTTGGTAAATTAAATGTTTTCCCACTTTGCAGTATATGGAATTTACTATTTCTTCAAAACTCGATGAGCTATGCAACTGCAAAGCTTTGTGCTTAAAACACTCTCCTTTGCAGTTCCCTTGTTTTGCCAGCAGTGATAGCCATCATGAGATAGTTACTAAAAAATATTTTTAATTTCAGTTGCTACATCATTCTTAGAAGCATGTGGGAAACAAATATAGATCCATTCTTTATATAGAAAGGCAAACTTCACAGAGTACCAAAGCGTTCTGTGGAAAATACACTTGTCCATCTTGCTTAAAAATACAAAACCTTGTAAAAATGCACCCTTATTTTGCTCCAGGTATTTATCATTCACACAACGAATAACACTGCCCATCACATTTCTGATAATAAACCCTACATGCTCATTATGACAGTTTTCTTCTGTATTTCATTAGTTTTGCTTCATGTTGGCATTCAGAAAATGAGGACCTTTAGTTCTTGTTTCGTGTTGGCATTCAGAAAATAGGGACCTATCAAAAACTGATCCAAAATTCAATCTGCTATATGTCGAAGTTCTGGAAAAAAAAAAAATAGCTTTAAACTATGGGCAAGGCACTGTGCATGGCACTCTGTAGAACCTTACTGAGAAGTACACTAATTTCTAGCTGCTGTGCAAGAGCTGTTGGCTTTGTAACTGACTGTGAACATGTGAGAACAAAAAAGTGATGCTGTGTCAGTGTGTGGGCTGCAAATGAGAACTCCTGGCTCATGCATTTTGCCCCATAAGCAGTTCTGGCATTGTATGCAGTCTTATTGCTGTTTCCTTTGTCCTCACTGATCCAGCTATAGTATTACTCACATTTTGGGCTTCCAACTTGCTGTCAAAAATCTCTCTAATTTTATTCACTGTCTTTTTAGTAGAACTCTCTGATCACTAATTCTAAGATCATTATTCTCATATTTTTCTAGGCTTCGGGACTTCAGAACCTGCTTTTCTAAATCTTCCTTCCCTCTGTGATGTTGAAGAATCATGGAGTAGCATCAATAAATATATTTTCTATTTGGAAAATAGATTAAATTGTGTAACTTGCTTGAAAGGTAAATAAATTTCTTTTACATAATACACTAACTGTATGAAAGCTTTGAAGCATTTCCTTTTTTTTTTTTCCTGACATGTATAATTAAGAGTGTGTCTAGGGAATATCAAAGAACGTTTTCTTACAACTTGTGTCTTTTAATTATTTTCTTCAAGTTTCTTACCTCTATGGCCAGTCATGTGGCCCAACAGTGGATGACAAGATACTGAGCATATAGAAGTCTGGTTTGAGAAAACCAACGTTTTTGTTTGTTTTTGATTGCTAATATTGAAAGTTAAAAGTAGAATGGTGGAATATTTTACAAAGCCAAAACAAAACAAAACAAAAAAACCACCAACCGACCAACCAAAAACAAACAACCACAAAACAAACAGAAAAACCCGCAAGGAACTCTGGTACAAAAAGGTCTCAACAGTGCTATTGTGTTTTTGAGAGGAAGTTTTATGAAGCTGAACAGTTTTCTTGAAGTTGAACCACTTTGTAAATTACCTCTTACTGCATTTACATGGAAAGCTTCAAATTGTACAAAACCAGCATCTGAGTCTTAAAAAAAATAGGTAGACCTCCTCTAAAGCTGTCAAATTTTTTCAGCTCAAACCTGTAACAAAATACTTATTTAAAAGCTTGTGTTTCTGAACCAGGGTGGGTAAAGTCATCCTTTAAGTGGAAAAGTATTCCTGCAAAAACGTCCTGAGAGGCAGCTTATGACTCAGTATGATAGGGCTGTTTGTGGAGTTAAAAAAACATCCCAGATCATCTAATCAAACTCGTTCATGTGTTGTTCTGTGCAAATGTTATGAGTCACCTCCACGCTAGCAGGTAAGCCGGCATTTCTGGCCCTCGCTGGAGCAAGGAGTTTCTCAGTCTGTGAGCATGTACGTACATCCAAGTGATGCTGGATTCAGATGGCACTATTGCAGATGGTGTTGTGGAGCATTTGGTTCTGATTACCTCACGGCCATTCCCGATCAGCATCTTTTTTATTCTAGATAGATTACAGCCGGAATATCTGATTGCCTTGGACATCTTGCACAGTAGTAGGCCCATATGTCTGTAGTCAGAATCTACGGAGTGCACTTGGATTTTGAAATGATAACCATATCTAACTCAAATTTAGCTGCTTTGGGGAGATGTCCTTTGGAGAAGAGTGGGTGCGGAAGCACTGGCCCATTCCAGGGCAGACACCTAATGAGAAAATCTGTGAAAGTGAGAGCAATGCTTTTTATGTTTAAAAAAGCAAATGCTCTAGAGACAAGAGGCCACACGTTTGGAGGGGAAAACCAATTATTCAATCATGTCCTCATCTGTAACTTGGTGACTTCCTTGTGCAAAAATACCATCTGACAATTACGTCAATGAAGACTGAGTGGAATTACCTCTGTGAAGACCGAGGAACTGGTGAATCTGCATCTCATACCCCTGAAAGTGGATAAGAAAAGTCCAAGTGGAGGGAAAAAAAAAAAAAGTTCATTTGGGACAAACTAAAAAAAAAGTCTGACACTTTCAGTTTAGCTTTTGATGTTCAAGCTAACTGGCACCAGAATAGCCTCCATATTACATATTATAACAAGAAAATTTTCACACAGAGGCTCTAAATCAGATATCAGTGTCAACAAGAAGATGCTCAAAAGATTTCATGTGAGGGCAAGTGATGCTCTGAGGTCAAAGGAACTCATCTGCTGTGTTAGTTAGGTCAGCTGTCAGTAATAGGAGGGAACAAGGCAATAGTTATTTTTTTACTGAACCATGGCAAGATACACTGTAAAAACTGGCCATGCTAGTGCTCCTGAAGTGTTCAAATGCAAAGACCTTGGATAAGGGACAGGCAGTAATTAAGAGCATGTAAAGACCCTCAAGTTGTAATGAGGCAGTCTTGGAAACAGGTTTCTTCATTTGAAAAGCCCCTTCATTTGAAAAGCCCCATGCATATAGGATGTATGCACATACCTAAACACATTGAAATGAAGAAACCTTTCCCAGAGGCCAGAGAGCCTGAGGCCATAACTGCAGCAGTAAGTTTTGCTCCAGAATGGGTCTGGTTCTATTGGTTCATAAACCAGACCTTTTTTTTTTTTTTTTTTTTTTTTTTCCCCCAAACCTTGCTCTTTTGGTTTTATGCCAGCATGGCCTGGTTAACATCACAAAACTAAATTTTTATCTTCCCCCAAGACAGTGTGGTGATGTAAAACTGCCTGTGGGGAATGGTGCCTAGTCCATCACAGAATCATAGGATGGCTTGGGTTGGGAGGGACCTCAAAGATATCTAGTTCCAGCCCCCCATGTTTTTTTCTATGCCATATCCAGATACCTTTTGAGAGAATGCCCAAAGTCACGTGCCAGAACTGCCAGGTAACGTGCCCACAGCTCAATTTTAAGAGCTCTGCATAGCACTGCCTGAGCATTGGCCTCTTCAGTTTACAGCGTAGATCCAGGTGATGAATCTCTCCATAGTTTTGGTCCCTCTCAACCCAGCAGTTTGGCCACAACAACCCATTCACCACAGGAACAGGTACCAGCAAGGCATCTAGCAAACTTCTTTGCACTCCTAGGCAGCTGCTCAGGAGCCTGAGCGCTCCAGGAGTGCTCGTGTGTGGGCAGTCTTGAGTTAGCTCCTCAGTGGCACACAGCAAAGCACGGGCTGTCCTCTGAAGCACTTTGCTGTACGGATTCACATTTTAGGAACTCCAGCATCTGGCTTGCAGAATCCCTCTGTAGAGATGTCTGAGCAGGCCTTTATCAGTCAGCAGCCAATTCCTCTGTTCCCTCCCCTGCGAGACGAATGCCAGATGTTAGGGACTCTCTGACCTCCTCCTTGGTACAGCCCTGCCTGACACTTTTCTTCTCCCTAGTGCCGGCAATTGAAGAGAGCATAAAAGCAGATGACAAGCCAGGACAACTTTCCTGTGCAGGGCTAGCTCCTGATCTGAATGGCGAGGAGGACGGAGGGGGTGGTTGTGCAGCTGCAGTGCAATATTACAGTGTGCACACATCACTACCAGGGGCTAATGATCTGGCACCAATGCCTTGAAATCCTCTTGTACCACATTTGCCAGACACATAAAGGTGACAGTCAAAGATTTTCCTGACGTGGACTTTTCTAGGCATTTACCCCTTCCCCAGCTGGAGGGCTGACAGTGTCAGTTCTGGCTTGTAGTTATAGCAGCGCTTTTTCTTTGAGTTATATTTTGTTTCTTTTCATATTATTTTATTTTATTTTTTTTAATTCATGTCCTTTTTTGACTGGAAAAAAAAGTAAGTATGCATGTTTATGTATGTACACATAGATGAACATTAAAATTCAAAAGAGAACAAGGAAGAAATACCCCTTCTGACCAGGCATAATGATTCTGAAGGGGAAATTATACACTTTTTGTGCTTTTTTTCTTTTTCTTTTTAACTAAGAGGTGACATGCTCCCCTAGTGCTGACTTGTAGCAGAAGAGATTAAAAATTCTTGGGCCATCAATAGCAAGAAATCACAGGGCTGTATTTACAGAGGCCATTAACTGTCCAGACATCTGTTGGGTAACAAATTCTGCTAAACATAGATCATGAAATGATTCTTGAATTATGCAGAGGGCAATTTCACAATCCAGAAAACAGAGAATTCAAGCGGAGAAAAAGCCATGCAAGACCCTCTTACTGCCAGTCGGGGAGGAATTCACGATGATGTCAGAATTATAGGAAAGTTTGGTGCTAGTGACAGTGGTCTGCTGGATTGCTACCAACGTGATAAGGAACAGCTTTAGATGATGGTCACAGTTACAGCTCTGTTCTCAACAAAGTAACTGACGTTATGGCAAAATTGGTCATGGTAATTAGAGGAACACTGTGATAAAGCTAGCTGGACAAAAGTAAAATTTGCAAATGTCTTCGTGAACACTGCAGTTAAACACGTTAGCACACGGGTAATAGATTTCAATACAAAAAAAGGACTTAGGGAATGACAAGCAGATGCAGCAATGGAAAAAAAAAAATGGTACTACGGTGGAATTTGGAGCATTCCAAGTGATATATAATTAAAGCACAACAGATCTTAACTCCCCTTGAGAAAGGCATAGTGCCCCTTTCCCTGTAACTTAACTGCAGCAGCTGCTTGGGAGAAGATCACAAGTGAGCCCAGTTGTGCTGCACTGTACTGTAATTGGGTTAAAGGGCTGTCACTTACCTCTGAAATGAGAGCTCAAGTGATATCTGTCAACCTTTGGAAGCTTTTGCTGGATCAGGAGTTACTTATTAGCTGCTGCTGAAGTCAAGCACAGAGCACAACCAATCATCAAAAACACAGAGAGTGAAGACTTGTCAGGGCAAATTAGTAGTTTTGGCTTTTTTTCCCTCAGCCAGCTGAGGAGAGGCATGCTGAATATCTAAGCTGAAACACCGAGAAAAAAATCCTGTAACTTTTTTCTGAAGGAAAAGGTAAGATAGAGAGGATGTGAGATGGAAGACATGAAGAAAAAAAATGATCAAGGAAAATCAAATAAAATCAAATAAATAAAATCACAATACCTTGAAAATAGGTGCAATGGATATAATGGTTAAAAGCCTGGATTTGCCTCCATTGCTTTATTAACCTCCATCTTCCTTCAAGACCACAGTTATATCGATCAGTGCGAGCTGTGCATTCACAACCCACATAACCCAGTCAGACATGAATGACTGTAACAGAGTCGAGGCCCTCACAAAAGAGAAACAGCAGCAAATAGAAATATCTCAGGGGAGGGAAGGCACAGAAGAATCTCAGAGGAAATGTTAATTCATCACACAACCAGTGTACACAATAAGCTTTGCCAAAACTGGCCAACTGTACGCTTAGCGTCAGCCTGAATTACGGAATGGGCTTTCTTGGGCTTTTTGTTTTGGAACCGTGCTTGGAAAATAACCATAAAGTGTATATTGGCTTTCAAATGGCTTACCAACAGGAAAATATTAGAGCTGATCCTGAAACGGTCAAGGCTTTCCGATTGCAACATCGTGAAATTCAAAGCCATCTCCAACAACAAAAGAACCATTGCTGACCAAACAGCGCTGCTGGATGCAGGCTGTTATTATGAAGAAGGGTTACGCTTGCAATTCAGGGTTCATTATAAGCTGGTCTCAACTCTGTTCTAAAATTTTCCTCATGAGAAACACGTTTGTGATTTCAACTTGGTAAGAATTATCCTTCTGCACTTTTCAAAGCAACACTTTAAGCGTCTTTCCTTCCCATTCGAAATATTTCTACAAGTCACTTCTTTTTCTGCAAGTCAGTGCAAAGCAGATTTGCCCGCCGTGGCATCCATTTGACTTCCTCGTGCAAGGCTCTCGACCTTTTAAACAAGTAGGTCTTATATCAGGGCTTCAACGTGCATGTAAAAACAGAAATAAAACCCCTCTCCGTTCATTTCACCTGTACCTTCTGAATAACATGCTCAGCACATGGTCCCAAATGTCTAGCCAAAGGTGCTAGAAGTCAGAGAACGCAGACGGACAGGTTTCTTCCTTGGATGAGAAGCTTTTTTATATTTTTATCAGGTTTGTCTTACTGTAGAAGACCTATGTCTGTGCTTTAGGGAGGGCTTTTGTTCAGGTTTCCAATTATCTGCTTGTTGAGATTTGATACGTTTTCATTAATTGCTAAATGGCAAAAGTCAGACCGCGAGGTATATGTGCCTTTTGACACCAGTCGTGCCAGCTGCCTTGCGGAGAGCAACCAAGTGTGTCTTTCTTTTACAGCGCTGTGATTTGGGGCAAAAGATGGCAAGGCATAATAATCACATTTAGAGTAAAGGCTGGATAATAAACTTCTACAGCATGGTAGTATTTTAGGGAAAGAGCTCCCAGCTCTCAAATACCACATGCAGGTGTGCTACCTCAGTGGGAAACATTTTAGGGATGAATGAATAACTCTGCCCTCTTGTTTACTAAGACAATACCCATTACATTGGCCATTAAAAATAAATAATAATAAAAAAAATACATGTTTTGCTTCTCTGGGAAGTGCTTGTAGAATATCTTTTAGCTGTAACCACTTTATGCTCCTAGCTGCCTGTAGCTGGGATTGGTGTCCCTTAACCACTCGATTAGTTAGATAAATTCTGCACGCCTGTGTCTGGGATCCATGGTAATAGAGTTACGTTGCTATGCTATGAAATGTGCAGGAGGGTCCAACCCTTCAGAAAGGATATGATTTCCGGGGCTACTGAAACTTCGCAGTGAAGGCAAGAAAGAATGCTTAAAGGAGCAAACAAAAGAAATCTCTGGAACGGCGACAAGTGGGATCAGGCAGATCGGCGGGTACGGGCAGGGCACTGACCTCCCAGGGAAAGTTTTCCTCCTGGAAGGTTTAACAGCTCTCTGAAAAAAAAATAAAATTGTTTAAAAATGGTGTTGTGGGGGAAGATTATCCTAGTTCTGTTCCTGACATCCTGAGGAGAGCCTACATGGCAACACCGTGTGTTGCATGTATTTGTGCGAAGGAAGGGCTGAATTAACCCGTTAGGATACACAGAGGAGCTTTCAGCCCAGGCTGCAAAAATGAGATGAGAAAAACCAAACACAACCAGGCTGGGCTGCTACAAGCAATCTCAGCCTACCCGACTGATGTAACTATTATCTCTGGCCACACCGATGACAGGATTCTTACTTCCCTGGCATAATAAGCAAAGGTCTCCTCAGACCTGTTGTTTTAGCGAGTGCAGAAGCCTCCTCCTGTTTTCATGGCCTGGGGAGAGGAGGGAAGATGAGAAGTCTGTACCTGTATTTCCCTGGACACTCTGGTCTTAGCAGGAATCAAGTGGGCTGCTGCTGCCTGCTGCTACCAGGCATCTCAGGGATGGAAAATAAGTTTAAGAAGAAAGGAGGGGGAAAAAAAAAACAAAGGTAAAAATACCTTAGCTTTTATATGCTAGGGAGTGTTTTCTGTTCTCTTTGGGTCTTGACACCGCCAGCTGAAATACCCAAGGGGCAGAATAAATTTAAAGGCTCAGAGCTGAGACAGGTTTTTGTTCTTGACCAGGATCCTACCTTAAGTGAAAGGAGCAACTGTAAAGCATCGGGAAGGATATATGAAGACAGTAAATCTATTTGAATTCTCACATGCGCTACCTTATTAAAACTGTAATTTTGCCATGTTTGTTTTAAGCAGTTATCTCCATGTTAAATTTCATATTCCCTCCCAGTACCAGGTAGAAAAGGTCCTGCTCTGTTAAACACTGTTAAATACATATGAAGACAACATGCTGCCTAGAAGACCTTTCAATCTAAGGCCAGTAATACCAAAGGAAAAGCGTGTATCAAATATACAGTTTAATTTGATTTTTATCTTTCTCTTCTACTCAGGTGCCTTCCAACCTCTCAATCATTAACTGACTGACTTCTACTGTCACAGCACAGATGGTCCTCAAAGAGATTAGTTTTTCCTCATGCAAATAATCTTACCGTGCACTTCTACCACAACGTACTTTCCAAGAGCTTAAGTACTTCACAAATATTCATGAACTTCATCTCTCAGTGCCCACATTCAGCCGGGACATTTAGAAAACAAACTACTTCAAACTACTCTAATCCCGGTTTCCTTGCAAGCCCGCATTAGCTATGCTGCCCCTGGATGGCACACCGCTGTTCACTCTGCTTCCAACTACCGAGCCAGAAAACAGCAAGGGATTTGGATGGCTGAAGCGGTGGTGGAGAATACAAAAATCCCTGGGAAGCTTCAAAGGCTATCCTCTGGGTTTCCCGATCTCCAGGCAATGAAAACGAAGCTGTCTTTGAAGATGGGCCAACAGAAGCCAGAAAGCAACTGCTTTTAGGGGTCATCGTTCCACAAAGCGGTGTAGGTTCGCCGTGTTCTGGTGCTGGGAAAGCCAAAGTACAGACTTCTAAAAGGTGCTAGACAGTTTCAAAGGCAGACAGCTGCCTCTGCAAATTTTAGAAGAAAAAATGGGCAAAGTCCTAGAATACACACAAAAATTTGAGATCCAGTTTTCTCAATGCCACTTTTCTGAAAAATTTTGAGGGTTACATCTTATGTGATCCCAGTCTTCTCAGTAATTACTCATCTAGGAGGAGTTCTATACATGTATCTAAGCTACCTGAATTACAGGTAACACCTTCAGGGAGAGGAAAAAAAAAAAAAAGCAGGGTCAAAAATCACTGAAGAAAAACTCACGAAAAACAACCCCAAACCACAATTTAAGCTCTCATTTATTCAAGTCCAAAACAAGTGGAAAATAATATTTTATTTATGGAGAAAGCAAGTAACTTGAATGCACAGAACTTGGCTGAAGGAAGGCTAAAAGGAGTAGGATACAAGTATTAAAAAATAACAAGTAATACTCAGAATGATATATATACACATAGTGATGAACAGTAGAATAAAATTAACCAATGGAAAATTTAAGACTCTTAAGCATGGAAAAAAAAATGTTTAATGGTGACAATCTACAAGGCTATAGCATGGCATTCTCATGGGGGCTCTGAAAAATTTACCTGTGTCACTAGAACCTGGGCTGACCAAGATCTTTGTATCTTTGTGAAACAATTCTGTCCGAAGGAGAAAGCCAATTAAAAAAAAAAATAAAAAAATAATCAAAGCTGAACTGCCAGTTCTAGTTCAGGCCTGTGGTTCAGGACAGACAAAATAAGCCTAACACAATCTGATAATATAACAATAATTTCATGGCTATCAACTGGGAGAAGCTGTTGTTTATCTTCAAGACAAAAAAAAAAAAAATAATAATAACACTAAATGACACCAAAGTTGTTTTTTAAAATGATGTTTTTTTCAGGCATATTTTTATCCTCATATTTTGCTTTATTGAGTTAGAATTAAATTTTAAGTGAAATTTGCATTTTTAATACTGTCTTATTTGTCCTCAAATGGACAATGCCCACTCTGAAGATCAGAAAATGGGTGTTCATAGATACAGATTTGTGTTCAAGCTCCCTCACGGATGCATGAAAAACAACAAACAAAAATCATGTATGAAAGAATCCTTTGCAGGATATATGCAGGAATCCTTTGTAATTACCCTTTGCATTATCAATACAGCAGAGGTATTCCTTCAGACAGAACCATGCTGAAATAATTCATCTAGATTTAGGAGAAAAGACAGAACTGCCTCATTTAGCCTGTACAAGGGGTATAATTTTGCCCACCATGTAAAAGGGCTGAATCCAAAAACGCATCTGTTTTCAGTGATAGTCTCAAGCTCTCTCCCTGCTCAGCTGCATCAGCTCTCCCAGTAATGAGCATAAGCACTAATATCACTGGGTTTTGTTCCTTCATAGCAAATCCCTTGTACAGATTTATAAATGTGGCTCTGATGGCAGCACTAGCCATTATGACTCTCGCATTAAGAGGCTGATACAGACTTAGGCTTGGGTTGATTATCTTTCTTTGAAAGAATCTTTCTCAATATTAATCAAATTGGCCAGCTCCCAGCAGAAAAGTACTAATGCCTACCACAGACAACACAAAACCAGCCTTGATTCTGCCCTATAGGGGATCTAATATGGATCTAATATAACATGCACAGGAGCAGCGAGAACTGAATGTTCCAAATGGCTTCAAAGATAATAGCAAAAAGAGAGTACGTACAGAATTCATAAAGTGTTTTTGCTTGTATAAATCCCATTGGAGCTGTATATAAGTTTTGTTGGTGGGATTCCTTTATCAGTGATGATCCCTGGACTGAGGGGATTAGGAGCAGGAGAGGCCCAGCTGCTTCGGTCCCACCTTCCCCTCACATTGGTGAGAAAAACATGGTGTGCCTACTGCATCCACTTTTCAAGGTGACTCCAGAATTCAAGCTGGTTTATGACCGAGTCTACCACGAAGAGTTAATGCCTTCCTCCCTCTCTTCCCGCCCCCCCTACTGGCAACAAACAGAAAAATTAAAAATTCCAAATGACCTTCCAGGATTTACGTGAAGTCTCCATGCATGTCCCAGGCTGCCTTTCACAACATTTTCCTAGTAAGGCGAGTGCTCTAAAATGCCTTTTTTTTTTTTTTTTTTTTTTTTTTCCCTGCACTTTGGAGAAGGCTACTTTCCAGAAGTTTCTGAGTTTTAGAATGCTCTCCAAGAAGATGGATGCTTGACACATAAAAGAGGTGCTCTTTTACTAGGCCAGTCAATGAAACATCAATGATATTACACATAGGAGAGAAGATGGCATGTCTGAGGAACGTGCCTGTCTAAGAGATTTAAAAGGAAGCCAATTAAGAGGCCAACAGCATACACTCACTCAACATGACTCCCCAAAGGAGCTACAAATCCCAAGGCATGACTTGTTAAAGTAGCATCACGGCCTTTACTTAACAACTCGAATCCCACCACCTTAGGGAGATAATTACTAGTCTAGCAGTAGGCAACCTTGCTGACCTCCTCAGGAGCCGCACACCTGACAGGGAGCCAGAAGACGCGTGCAACTTTCTGTGGAAAGCCGAGGGGACAAAAGGCATCCCAAAACACAGATGTAGACAGGAAAAGACTGTGTTGTACCAAGGCTCTCCAACAGACCAACTATTTTTTTGTACAATGGGGGCTGGCATGCAGATGGGTTCCAGGGCAATCCAGCAACGTGGCCTCAGCAGCACCTGCTGGTTTGCTTCCTCTAGCAGCAGGGGCTCAGATTAAGCAGTAGACCCTGGACCAGCACAGCCTTGCTGTCAGTCACAGGACACAGCCCCACCACTGGAACTCCGAAATTGAATGGCTGGAAAGATACAAGCAGCTTCGGACTCACACCAGCTTGGCTGGGCTTATCGCTGCCCGCAGGATCCATGCTGAGTACTCACAGCAGAGGATGTTGCTTCTGAAGAAATACAGTTGTCATAACTTGCCTGTACCCACTCCAAAAATCAAGTTTCATTCCCAACTCCTTCAGAAGGGCTCCGAGGGGTGATCTGGGATAAAAGGAAGCACCCCTGGGGTTGCTCCAGCGCCTCAGAACGGATGGCACAGGCCGCAGATGCCAACAGGCAAGCCAAAATATCAAAATACCACGCTCACAGGCCTAAGAATGCCTAAAAACTGCAATGGAAATACGATTCCACCCCTCTCTCTCCAGCCTTCCTAGAAACTAAATGCTAATCTTTCATTAGTCTTAAAGAAAAAAAAAAAAGCCAGAAACTGCTCTTGCCTAACAAGACAGAAACGTTGCCTGGAAGAACAAAATGAATCAAACCAGGCCACTGCCAATTTTATCTTGAGAGAGGGAGCACAGTGGCTTCGTACCTTCGAGAGCAGCGGCTGTGGGAGCCCATCAGCCGGATCAGGGGAAAAACATCAGGCAGAGAGGACGCGGAGCAACCCCCTGAACAGATTATGCTAAAAAATGGCTCTGGAGTTAGCGCTCGAAGGCTAGCGGAGCAGAAGCGGCAGAGACTCAATTGTTGGGGGAAAACGAGCAAACAAAAACCGAGGACAGATCTTCGTCGTTAATTGGCTGGAAACGCTCCACGATTGTATGATTTATAGGAAGTAAACTCAAAAGAGTGCCTGAGCACGGATCAAAGGCACATTAACGTTCATCTCCGCCTGCACGTAGGGGAAAAGGTCACAGCGAGGGCCGGCCAATTTTTTTTTACATTTTTATTTGTTTATTTATTTATTTTTACACAGAAAGATCAGACCGAGTCTGTCGGAATTCACCGCCACACACCGAACCCCGCTGGACACGTCGGGCTGCCAGAGGCTGAACTTTTCCCTGATAAACGAGCCCCCCTTCGGCCAGGCCGGCGGATTTCAGCCAGACTTTGGGTTTTCCCCCCTCGGCCTCCTGTCCCGAGGGGTAATTTGGGGATCGGAGCGCCTCATGGGGCCTCTCCCCCCCCCCCCCCCCATCAAGACGGGGGAAGCGCTGCCTCAGGGGGCGCCTCGCAGCCCCTCAGCGGGAGCACGGCTCCCCCCCCTCAGCCTCAAGGCGAGCGTCTCCCCTCACCCCGCGGCTCCCCCGCCCGTTCCCGGCGGGGCCGAGCCGCCTCCCTCCCCTCAGCCCCGCCGCAGCCCCCCCGCCGCCATTTTCTGACGAGCGGCACCCCCCGCCCCGCGCTCCCCCCACCCCCCCCCCGCCATTTTCTGACGAGCGGCGCCCCCCTGCCCGCACCCAGCGCCCCCCCCCCACACACACACTGCGCATGCGCAGCGGCGCCGCTCGGGCCCTCTCCCCCCACGTATCCCCTTCGCCCCGCCCCTAATTTGAATATGCTAACGAGGCACCGCCCGGCGGCCCAATGGCGGGGCGGGGAGGCCGTCACGTGGGGGCGGGGCCGCGTGCCTGGGGGGCGTGGCCAGCCCAGCCCAGGCGGCTATAAAAGCCGGCGGCGAGCGCGGCAGCGCCTCAGTCAGAGGCGGAGGGGGGCGGGCGGCGAAGGGGCTGCGGCTGCTCCGCCCGAAACTTCGGAAAGGGGGGGGGGCGGCAGCACCAGCAGCAACAGGGGGAGGGGAGGAGGAGGAGGAAGGAGAAGAAGAGGAAGGAGGTGGTGGTGGTGGTGGTCGGGGCGGCGGCGGGGGGGAAGGTCAGCAGCGGCGCAGCCCTCCCCGCCGCTCCCTCATGAGCCAGCCCGTGCTGGGCTGAGCAGGCCCCGCACACAAAGGAGGGCAGGGCAGGCAGCGCTGCCCCCCCCCCACCCCCCTTCCACCTCCCCACCACCTTCCCTTCCCCTCACCCTGAGGGAAGGGGCGGCGGGGAGGCGCCCTTCCCCGTGCACAGCACTCACGGCCACTCGTTCCCCCCTCCTCTTCCTCCTCTTCCTCCCACCTTTGGTTTTTCCTCCTCCTTTCCCCCCCCCCCCCCCCAGCCCCGGTCCATGTAGCCGCCCCGGCCGCCGGCCCCTCCGCACTATGCCCATCTTACTCTTCCTGATAGACACGTCCGCCTCCATGAACCAGCGCACCCACCTGGGCACCACCTATCTGGACATAGCCAAAGGCGCTGTAGAGACTTTCATGAAGGTACCGGCTGCAAGGAGGCGAGGAGAGAGAGAGAGAGAGGAGGGGAGAGAAACGAATTGGGGAGGGGAGGGGGGGGGAGAGGGGAAAAAAAGGGAGGGGGGGGCTGCGGGGGGCGAGGGCGGCGGTGTGCGGGCACCCAGGGAGGGAGGGGAGGGGGAGGAGGGAGGGCTGGGGCTTGGGGGGGGGCTCCTGCACCCCCGCCTTCCTCCTCCTCCTCCTCCTCCTCTTCCTCTCGCCTCACCCTCTGCTTTGTGTCCCCCCCCCCTTCCCCACCACCATTTACACCGCAGCTCCGAGCCCGGGACCCGGCCAGCAGGGGAGACAGGTACATGCTGGTCACTTTCGAGGAGCCTCCCTACGCTATCAAGGTAACCCCCCCCCCCTCCTCCCCTGCTAATCCTTCCCTTCCCTTTTCCCTTCCCTCCCCAGCCTCCTTCCTGCCCCCTCGGCCCGGCCGGGCAGCTCAGCGCACGCCCGGGCTCTGGCAGCGGCAGCGCTGACATCAACATGGCCGACATTTTATTATTTTTTTTCTTCCCCCCCCCCACCCCTCCTCTGTCCCTCCCCTGTGTGGTTTGTGAGCAGCAATGAACTGTGGGGGATATTTAATTCGAGTTGGGAGAAGTGACAGCAACTCCGAGGAGAGTTTGTATGGTTGGAGGGGGGGGGAAGGTTCTCTCTGTCCTGTCCTTTTCAGGGGGGGAAGCGAGGCGAGGGGGTGGTGGGGCCGCATGACACAGGGCTGTGAACCTGTTGGAGATCGCTTCAAGGCTGGGCAGAGGAGTTCAGATAGCTGCGAGGGCTATTCACGGGTGGCTTCACAGAAATTCGCCCTTTGGAACATCAGGTAGATACAGTTCGGGAAGATTTTAAACTGTTTTGAGGCTTTCCATAATGGCATTAAACACTCATAACTTCCAAGGTATTTTGCCTTTCTGCTGAGCTGCATGCACCTACAAAGTGTCTTGCTTAGTTGCTGAACAGAAAACCCTGATTCCTTACAAAGCTTCTGTCTGAAGAATGCCTTCTCACGTTTCTCTTTTCAGGCTGGCTGGAAGGAAAACCATGCAACGTTTATGAATGAACTGAAAAACCTTCAAGCTGAAGGACTTACGACTCTTGGCCAGTCCCTAAGGACAGCTTTTGATTTATTAAACTTAAATAGATTAGTAACTGGCATAGACAACTATGGGCAGGTAGGTTGACTGTTAATAGGTGGAAAAAAACAAAACAAACTTCTCAGGGACAGCTATTAACTAAATGTCCAAAGAGGCATCTTCATGAAATACGTGATGTGGGGGCTTCTTCAAAAGTAAGCAGAGATCAGATAGTTTGAAGAAGTGTAGCTGATGTTGATAGTTTTGTTCCTGTTTATTTCCACCCCCCCAGTTACTCAGTTCTTAAATGGTGATGTAGCCTCCAAGTTGATCTTCTCAGTTAAACTTTGTAATTTTTTTTCCAGCAAGTCTTATGTTTCAGAACCTTAACTGATGAGCCTGACGGGGGTCATGAAAACTTGGCTTTATGCGTACAGTGCTGTATGATCACATAAGTACGATTTGGGAGATGAGCTGGTTTTTGAGCAGCACTGCATGCTCCAAAAGTATTGAGTGGAGCACACCTTTTTAAAAACATTTTCTTTCTAACGAGATTAATACAACTTTTCTCTGAATACCTGTATTTTCATAGACCTGCATGCTGTATCGAGCCTTGAGGAGCTGTGCTTTCCTAATGTTTGTGTTGCAGCTGTCCCTTTAAAGCAGGACTTCTTTTGGGGTGGGCCTGAATTCTCTTGCTCAGTAGTGAGTTCCTATAAGCCAGTGACTCTAGCCTAAATATGCGCTTTAGGAAGAGTATCCAGTACTTTCTGGCACTGGATCAAACCATGGATTTGTTTTTTATAAAGCACGTTATTAGTATTGGGCAAAGTATATCATGTATTTTTCACATGGGACATGCTAACTTGAATCTCCTCTTTTCATTTGTTTGATTTTTTTTTTTTTCATGTAATGCATCATCTGCTATCTGAGGATTAGTTACTGCTCTTGGTATTTAACATGGGAATGTGGCTGTGAAAATAAGCCCCCTCTCTCCCCCTCCCGTTTCCAGTCTGAGCAGAGTTTGCGATAACATGCCATGTTTGTTTGGGAAGGAAATTTCTCTCTCGTGTTGCATTGTATGGCTTTGCCACTAGGTGATCAAGTGAGTCTAAACATTTTTAAAATGCCAGTTTGGTGATGAAACTTAAAAAAAAAAAAAGTGCTAGTTCCACACATGGCTATTTTTTTGTCTATTACCATCTGCTGTCCTCTTGTACATCTGTGTGCTAACCTTTCCCATTTTATGACATTTTTCTTTAGTTACGTGAGCTATGTGAAGCTTTTTAGAACATTTACCATTGTAGGCATGTACATAGAATACTTGCTCTTTGCCATTGCTCTTGCTAGTGATAATACAGTGTTTAAACCCAAGTATTTAAGCTTGCTCTGAGTGAAGCTGTGCTCAACAGCCCTGTCAAGTAGGCAAGCTGACTTGTCACTCTCTTGACTAGTTAGTTTTCATTGTTGTGGGCTGTTGCTGTTTTGTCCGTCGAGCAATTCTTGTCTGGTCTGTTTTGGTTACAAATCTCTCTCAGCTTGAACCCACCATGGTTATGCGTGCTATTTGTTCTGTCCACATGTTGAACAGACTGCTGGAGAGGTGTTCAAATGCTCAGTCAAGTGACTGAACAGAACTTCTGCCCTCTTTTAGCATCTGCAAAACTAGATGGATGGATTGCAAGTGCCAAATCGTCTGCTGCTGAAGTCTCTGGTTCCCATTCTGGCTCTACTGATCAAAGTAGCAGATTATTCATAAATAAAATTAAATTCTGAAGCACTTAACTGGTCCATCAGCGCTCACAGGATGATATCCAGGGCAGTTAAGATGCCTCAGATTCACATTGGCCTTTGAACAATGTCATATCTGTCAAACTTCCTATCGTTGAAGTCTGCTACCTAAAATTAGCTTAAGATAAATCTGATCTTAAACATACACAGTATGAGCAACTTACAAATTCAGGGTAATAAAAATGATCGGAATGCTCAGTTACATTTGAAAATATTTCACTCAGATTCACTTCTTAAGCAGTTTAAAATATTAAGTCCATGAACAACTGAGTAGTTTACTTCAATATAGCAGATGTTTGAAGAGTGATTATCTCAGAGTGGGAGGAGCAGATAATTTTAGAAAATGCGACAGATTATTTTAGGTGTGGTATTGCATGAAGTAATGAATCTAAACATTTATTAAGCTTTTCTCTGGAAAAATGATCTGGCTTAATATCTTTTTACTAACGTGCTTGGCTTTTGGTTGCATTGACAAGGTTCTACGGTATTTGCTAAGATCCATTTGTTTCACATGTGGATTGTAAAACATATGTAAAAATGACAAGACATGATACGGACTCAGTGGGATTGCCTGGTTATGTCATTCAACAGCACGATGTCTTGTCCCCCTGCTAACTTTGAACTGTTTGTTTAAATGGCAGTGTGACTCACTATGCTTGATTTCTTTCGAAGTAGACCAGAGTTCTCCATCAGCTCAGCTCCTGAACAAGCTGTGGTGGCTGAATGGTCATTCTGAAATTGAGGAAAATCTCCTGCTTCACATGTTCTTGCACCATTGATGTTCATATTTTTAATATGACTATTTACTGCTATTACTTTTTCAGTAAATACATAGAGTTGATAATGATCGAGTGTACAACTACATTAGCTGATTACAGTATTTCACATTCGGGTCTTAAAGGGGCACTGTCAACATGTTTAGATTATCAAGAACCTGGAAGACTTTTTCAGAAGGTGTTTCTGATATTAGTGCTATATTATTTTTTCCTCTAAACCCTTTGTATTACCTAGGATTTTTTTTTTTTAGATCTACATTTTTGATGGTTTTTATCAACAGCACAAGAAATGTGCAAGGAGGCAGTAAAACAGACAAAAGGAAAATCATGTGATGTTCTTAGAGGTCAGCTTATTAGGATTTTAGGAAGCTTATATATTTTAAGGTGACTATTTCAATTTTTTCTGCACTTCCAGATGGATAAATTCTGTATTATTCTTGAGTCTGCATACTGTGTTTTGTGCTGATTACGATAGCAGAAGAATGAACCTTCAAATAAGGTGTCAGCTTTTTGTTTGCTAAAAATAGTGGTCCTCTTCACCTTCTGCATTTTTTTACAGAAAGCTGGAAGAAAACACAGGATTTGGATGTGTTCAGGAAGAATGCAATTTAAACATGCTAAGTTCAGTAAACTCACAGTCATCACATAAAACACTTTATAGGCTCAGTTTGCACTTAGCTAACTGACTTTGCCATATTTTCCCCAGTTCAACTTCCCCATTATTTCAGGTGGTCTGAAATACAAAACCTATAACTAGCAGGTTTTCCTTCCTCTTGGAATACACTCCTACATCTGACAGATATGGCTTGCTCAGCAGGGTGCATGCAGTCACAATTCAACTGAGTGTTTTTGAGTAAGGCAAATGGATGCAGGTTGTTAGAGTTAATGGAAGGGTTAAATACTAATAGATGTTTCTGGAATTATTCTTTCTGTGTAAACAGAAAACATGAAGGTGGCTATTATGTAATACAGTAAAATGTAACCAAGTGGCTGAGTGGAACTAAGTATCTACTTCAGTGACTTGCAATCTGTAGCAAAGTTTCTAAGAATGAGATGTAAACTCAGGTAGGTAAAAATGTATCACTGGAGTTCTGAAACCTACATGCAAAGCACCATTGCAGCTCTACCAAAATGAATCTGATGGATGTCTGAAACTTCTAAAACTTACCTGAAACCCCATGTGTTTCACCCTCCCTATTATTTGTATAATGAGGGTCTCTTACTAGATTTTTGTGTGCAGTATTGCATCAACTGCGGCTTGAGAAGATAAAATAAGAACCTACTGGTACTTATTTTAATGGATTTCGGTGTTGATGTATCAAGCTATTCTTCCAGTTTTTCTCAGGATGAAACTTCATTTCAATATTGTCAGTAGAAACAACTCTTTTCAGTAGCAGAAT